TCGTGAAAAATTTTTTACTAAAATTATTTGGTTTTTCAGCAATTTGAATTTCATAAGGCTTTAAGCATTTTTGTATTTTACTGCAGACTTCAGGAATATAGGGTAAGGAGATATATTTATTATTCTTATTGATGGGATTCTTATTAGCTTTAGCATTATTGTTGTAGATTTTATGAATTTTTTTCTTTAAAATTGGCTCGTAAAAATGTTGGGGGTAATTGTTTTTATTAAGGGTGTCTTTAATTTTAGAAAGGTTAGCCGGTCTATTTTTTGGATGAGAAAGTAACAAGGCCCTATCAGCTAAAGCATTGACGACACTTTTTTTATATTTAATTGGCGCGTGAGAATTAAAATTAAGGTATCTTTCTGACCAGATAGATTTAGTATACCAATTTGTTGTTATGTTGCTAGAGTTATGAGAGATATTAATGTCTAGAAAGTTTATGCTTTTATTATTTTCTATTTCCATGGTAAATTGTATTTTATTGTGGAAGTCATTGAAGCTATCGAGAATATATTGTTGTTTGTGTTCCGGAACACAGAGAATGCAATCATCTACATATCTTTTAAAAAATATTGGTTCAAAATTTAAGTTAGAGATAATATTTTCCTCTACATGTTCCATCACCAGGTTAGCAATAGTTGCAGAGATTGGAGAACCCATAGCAGTACCAAATATCTGTGTATAAAATTTGCTTTCAAATGTAAAATAAGTGGAAGATAAACAAAATTTAACACCATCAATAAATTCATTTAGGGTAAGTGGAGTGAATTCATTCAAAATTGGCCATTTATTTTTTATGCAGTCCAAGGCCAAGTCGGTAGGGATATTGGTATATAACGAGATTACATCTAAGGATACAAGACTATGGTTTTCAGGTACATTAATTTGTTTAATAAAGTCACAAAAGTCCCAAGAGTCCCTAACAAAATAATCATTTTCACCTATAATGTTGGATAAGCTATCAGATAAGAATTTAGAAAGACTGTAAGTAGGAGAATTGAGAGTACTTATTATGGGTCTTAAAGGAATATTGTTTTTGTGGAGTTTAGGAAGTCCATAAATATAAGGTGCGTGGCCGTTGTGACTAATGAGCTTATTTTTTAGTTTTTTGTCAATACTTTTATTTTTGAACCAGCAGTTGATCATGCTGTTTAATTTTGTTTGTATTTTTGAGGTGGGGTCATTGTTTTCAATCTTATAGGTGGAGGGGTCAGATAACATGTTAAGCATCTTCTGATTGTAATCATTTTTGTGCATTAGCACGGTTTTATTACATTTGTCAGCAGACAGAATGATTAGATTAGTATAATTTTCTAGAAACGATTTAGTTTCTTTAATAAAAAAGTTGTATTGATTTTTCCATTTTTTGTTGGTGTTTTCAACTTTATTTTTGTAATTATTGAGTATGTTAGAGACTTTGTTGCGAATGCAGTTTTTTTGTTCGTTGTTTAGGGAACTGATGCCATTTTCAATGCTCGCTAAAATATTTGAAATTGGAAAAAAAGTCGGTATGTTTATGGAGAATTTTGGTCCTAAACTGAGAAAAAATTTTACAGGGTCAGGTATATTTATATTAGTAAGGTTCTCTAGCCAGTTGTTATTAAATTGGAAATCTGTTTGATGGAAAATATTATCTTTTTTTATGAGGGCCTCAATCTTCTTCAAGTGTTTATTTTTAATATCTTTGAAAACTCTTTCATAATAAAATTTTTGTTTTTCAAAAAAGGAGGAAGCTGTATTACGGTCAGTATTGGTTTTAATTTTATGCGTGTATATGTTTAATTGTTTTTCCAAGAAATTGCAGTGTGAAAAAGATTCGCTAATACAAATATTGAGAAGCCCAAAATAGTACGTATTTAAGATTTTTTGGTGTTCAGAAATATATTTGTTGTTATGAAAGTTGAAAGTTCTTCTCTTTATCTTAATGAAATTTGGAAACTGCAACTGATTCCAAATTTCATTAAGATAAAGAGAAGAACTTTCAACTTTCATAACAACAAATATATTTCTGAACACCAAAAAATCTTAAATACGTACTATTTTGGGCTTCTCAATATTTGTATTAGCGAATCTTTTTCACACTGCAATTTCTTGGAAAAACAATTAAACATATACACGCATAAAATTAAAACCAATACTGACCGTAATACAGCTTCCTCCTTTTTTGAAAAACAAAAATTTTATTATGAAAGAGTTTTCAAAGATATTAAAAATAAACACTTGAAGAAGATTGAGGCCCTCATAAAAAAAGATAATATTTTCCATCAAACAGATTTCCAATTTAATAACAACTGGCTAGAGAACCTTACTAATATAAATATACCTGACCCTGTAAAATTTTTTCTCAGTTTAGGACCAAAATTCTCCATAAACATACCGACTTTTTTTCCAATTTCAAATATTTTAGCGAGCATTGAAAATGGCATCAGTTCCCTAAACAACGAACAAAAAAACTGCATTCGCAACAAAGTCTCTAACATACTCAATAATTACAAAAATAAAGTTGAAAACACCAACAAAAAATGGAAAAATCAATACAACTTTTTTATTAAAGAAACTAAATCGTTTCTAGAAAATTATACTAATCTAATCATTCTGTCTGCTGACAAATGTAATAAAACCGTGCTAATGCACAAAAATGATTACAATCAGAAGATGCTTAACATGTTATCTGACCCCTCCACCTATAAGATTGAAAACAATGACCCCACCTCAAAAATACAAACAAAATTAAACAGCATGATCAACTGCTGGTTCAAAAATAAAAGTATTGACAAAAAACTAAAAAATAAGCTCATTAGTCACAACGGCCACGCACCTTATATTTATGGACTTCCTAAACTCCACAAAAACAATATTCCTTTAAGACCCATAATAAGTACTCTCAATTCTCCTACTTACAGTCTTTCTAAATTCTTATCTGATAGCTTATCCAACATTATAGGTGAAAATGATTATTTTGTTAGGGACTCTTGGGACTTTTGTGACTTTATTAAACAAATTAATGTACCTGAAAACCATAGTCTTGTATCCTTAGATGTAATCTCGTTATATACCAATATCCCTACCGACTTGGCCTTGGACTGCATAAAAAATAAATGGCCAATTTTGAATGAATTCACTCCACTTACCCTAAATGAATTTATTGATGGTGTTAAATTTTGTTTATCTTCCACTTATTTTACATTTGAAAGCAAATTTTATACACAGATATTTGGTACTGCTATGGGTTCTCCAATCTCTGCAACTATTGCTAACCTGGTGATGGAACATGTAGAGGAAAATATTATCTCTAACTTAAATTTTGAACCAATATTTTTTAAAAGATATGTAGATGATTGCATTCTCTGTGTTCCGGAACACAAACAACAATATATTCTCGATAGCTTCAATGACTTCCACAATAAAATACAATTTACCATGGAAATAGAAAATAATAAAAGCATAAACTTTCTAGACATTAATATCTCTCATAACTCTAGCAACATAACAACAAATTGGTATACTAAATCTATCTGGTCAGAAAGATACCTTAATTTTAATTCTCACGCGCCAATTAAATATAAAAAAAGTGTCGTCAATGCTTTAGCTGATAGGGCCTTGTTACTTTCTCATCCAAAAAATAGACCGGCTAACCTTTCTAAAATTAAAGACACCCTTAATAAAAACAATTACCCCCAACATTTTTACGAGCCAATTTTAAAGAAAAAAATTCATAAAATCTACAACAATAATGCTAAAGCTAATAAGAATCCCATCAATAAGAATAATAAATATATCTCCTTACCCTATATTCCTGAAGTCTGCAGTAAAATACAAAAATGCTTAAAGCCTTATGAAATTCAAATTGCTGAAAAACCAAATAATTTTAGTAAAAAATTTTTCACGAAACTTAAACCCTCTATTGAAAAAGACTTGCGCACTAATACCATTTACAAAATCAACTGCCAAGATTGTGACAGCTGCTACATTGGTCAAACCAAGCAATATATCCATAAAAGAATAAAAAATCATAAGAATAGCTTACATAAACCATCCGAAAATAATACTGCGTTAACACAACACTGTTTCAACAATCTGCATCAATTTGACTTCAACAATTTCGAAATCATTGGTGAAGAACAGAATCTTTCAAAAAGACTCTTCCAGGAAATGTATCAAAATAAAAAAAATCAGAATTCTATCAACTTCCGCACTGATATCGAGAATTTAAGTAGTATTTATGATAATTTAATAAACTCATAAGAGAATTAAAAGGTAGTTACCATAATTTTTCGCTCATACCTCCCTTTTTGCACTGCCCTTTTCTTTTTTGTTTGTTCCAAATTAAAAATTTTTCTTTGTTTTTCTTGTTTTTTCTAAATTTTATATAACCACTCATTTGCAGTTTTTTCATCTTCCAAAACAATGTCATACCTAATAATATTTTACCGTTTATATTTAATAGGAAGGAATGTACGAACGTCATATAAAAAAAAGACACCTAGTAAAACCAAGGAATGCACACCAATTTTGATTTGATCTAGATTTCAGTACAACTTGTGACACAGAATAGGCGACAGGCATTTCTGCATGTGTTTTATTTTAAAAAAAACCATGTTTTTGAATTTTTGTTTGTTGTATACGTAACTCTGTTTGTCATTCTATGTAACATCGTCCTCGTCATTATACAAAAAAAAAATATTTATAAGTTTTAAAATGTAAAAACATCTGTGGTAAGTGCTTTTCTTTTGTGTCCTTAAACGTTTTTTGATTTCCTTTTTTTTTATATATATTTTTAGCTTTTACAATTTTGACTTTGCTATTTCTATTTCTGAGGATGGAATTAAATGAAAATTCCGAAACGTAAAAAAAAAAAAAAAAAAAAAAAAAAAAATTGTTTCATTTTTTTTTTTTTCTCTCAACCTGACTGACTCCCAAGAAAACTTCCACTATTTCATAAATAGTATTGTTGTTTTTCGAAAAATTGTTATAATAAATTTTACATTTCATTTAGTAAAAAAATCCTACCACAAGCTGTCTCTCCTAATACATCCCGACAAGGTAGAACAAAACCATAAAGAAGAAGCCACCGAAAAATTCAAAATTCTTTGCAAAATCCATTCCATTCTTCAAGATGAACGCAAAAGACGCATATATGATAAATATGGATATTTCGATGAAGGAACAGATATCGCATTCAATTGGAAAGACTACTGGCTATCCGTGTTCAACAAAATAGAACTAAAAGACATACAAAAATATGAAGAGGAATACGTTGGTTCGGAAACTGAGAGAAGAGACATAAAGTGGGCATATGAGACTAGCAAAGGTAAACTTTCTACGTAGGAACATAGGAAAATAGACAACTACCATTTTAGGAAGTATGGACTTTATATTAGATGCGGTAGAGTTTAGCAATTTTGAGTCACAACCAAGGATCATTGAAATAGTCAGGGAAATGGTGGACAATGGTAAAGTTAAAGAATATGAGAGATTTTTCAACGAATGTGAAGCAAAAAGATTGAAAAGAAAAAGAAAGTTTGAAAAAGAAAGACTAGAAGTTGAAACCTTTGATAGTATGTACCTACTCAAGCCAATTTTGTTTTTTAATATTTCCTAAACTTTATATCTGAGTGGTTGATCCAAAACTAAAATGACACCAACTTGGTTTACATTAAGGTGGTGTGGATTTAGTTTTGGATCAACTATATTTTTAGTGCAACAATTGGAAAAAGAGTCACAAACAAAAAAGGTCAAGCATGCGACATGTGACGCTAGTTTCAAACGAAGTTTTTCTCTTAAGAAAGCAGTAGAAGAATGAACAATTCCCAAAGGAAAATAATCATTTTGTCACAGAAATCACAGAGCATAGGTATATGTTTAATGAATTTATTAATATTTTTTCAAACTTTGTATTAATGTATAGTAGGTAGGTATGGCTTGGTCAAAATATATAGGTACATATTTGGTGTGCTTGGTCGAAACATAATATATAAATATTTGATGAATGTTTTTTATTTATTTCATCCTGTATCGTAAAACACATCTTTACGCAGGTACCTACTTATTGCAAATTCAAACTTTACGTCAATATAGTACTGACCAGAGATGTACTGACAATTTCACCAGTAAACCAGGTACATGGTACGATGTGAATTAAAAATAAGTAGGTACTTTTTTCAAAACATGTAGGTAACTTTCAACAATAAAGCCAGTTTCAAATAACATATTGTACGTTATTCGCCTAGGAACACTTTTACAGTATTCGTTTCAGTAAACATCTCACTCGTACTGTAAAAGTTTATTTTCTGGACTAATAACGTAAATATCTATTTTATAACATTGTGAAGCTGTTATTGTTTGTAAGGCTGACATCTGGACCAGCTGTCAGAATTTTACAATAAAATTGTTACATTAAACGACTTTGACCCTTTAACGCAAACTTTTTTTCAAATAAATTCACATGAGAAAGCTTTATTTTGATGAAATGAAAAGTCTTGACGTCAAAAATGAAGTTCAATGAGTCGGAAAAGTTGCCAAAAGCTCGAAACTGTGGGTTAATGATGAAACTTTCGGAGTTAACAAAGTCATTCAACTCTCTTTAATTTTAAGCTTTTTAGGTTAGGGATTTTTGTTATTCGGTTGATAACAATTGCATATTAAAGACACAGACAGTCGAAACGTTGCAACAGTAAATCGAAAAGCTATTGGAAGTTTTTTTTATCAATTTTTCAAAAATCTCGATTTTGTTGGCATGAAATAAGTTTACGCAAGAAAATGGATGGTTTCGAGCTGCGACTTTTTATGAGCAGTTTTCATTAAATTTCTCGTCCCGGCTGACGAAGACAAACAAAATTCTCTCTATGCATTCCGAGAAAATCTTGTTGAAAAAGTTCGTAAATTTAGCGTTTTCTTTTGTTTCTACTCCGACTCGAATCTGTGACGTCATTATCAGTACGTGTTGAGGTTCAAGATAAAATGATAATTCTTATTTTTATTATTCAGGACGTGATAATTCTACCCAAAAGAAAGTCCAAAACAGAATGGTGTAGAAATACCAGATCCCAAAACAACAAATTTCGTAAGAAAAGTGATCTGAAAAATTACTCTCAAATAATCCTTGACGCAAATGTCATTTGTAACAAAGAAGTAATTGACAGCTTTGAAAGAAGTCAGCTGTGCAGTTTGTTATTTTTTACGAAGAAGAGACGAGAGAAGATGTTTGCGATTTTGGTATGGCGCGAGTTATATCTTTGAGCGTTTTTAATTATTGGTTTACGTTACAAGCTAATTTTTAAATTATACAAAGATGTCGAGAATATGCAGATCTTGTTTAAAACCTAGTCAGCATTTCTATTCAATTTATACTGATAGTTTTCCGGTGGAGAATTTATTTAGGCGTCTCGTTCCCGAAGTGGTAAGTGACAAACTCGAAAACATGGCCGGACAGTGTTGCAAGATTGTATTGTTTTTCTGGAGGAATATCCTAGATATTTTTTTTGGTCTAAGGCCCGGTGGCCGGTTGTCAGGTAACGCAATCTGTAATCGCATTGGTCGGCCAGTTGTCCGCCGACCAATAGGAATATAGGTCGATAAATTTATCTTGCAGACAGTTATCAGCCAAGCTTATCTGAAGATGAATAAACCGAGCCTAAGTGCTACTGAATCAATTTATTGCTAGTTATCAAAAACCCGAGCAAAAACCTTAGATTATTTCAATGTCGATATGATAAAATCTGTTTTTTTTTTAAAGATAATTCTCCAAGTCAAAAATTTAGTAACTATGTTGGCAACACAAGCCTTTTCTACATGAAAAATTTGAAAGCATTGACAATTTTACATTGTATTGCCAATCTAATGTCAGTTTCACTTTTATCTTTAAAAAAAAAAACGCAATTTATTGTTTTTTGTGACACAATCTAGGCTTATTGTTTGTTAACAAGGACTTAACTGACGATTGATTTCGCTGCATTAGTGCCGGTTTATTCACCTTCTGATAAACTGTCAGGTCAGTCAGCTAATGCAATCTGACGGATTAAAACGCAATCTGCACTGGTCGACCACTTATTTGGCGACCAATAGGATTGTAGAACGGGAAATTTATCTTGCAGATAGTTACCAGCAAGTTTGTATGAAGATGTATAAATCGGGCCTAATAATAATTATTGTTTTATGTGAAGTAGGTACCGAGTTGAACAAACTTCCATGGTAGGTACAGTCGTGACTGACAGGTCTTGTCATTTTTCGCTATTTTGGGTAAATCAGTCTTTTCTCTACAATGAATTTTTTGTCAAATATGACAATCCTGTCATTGTCGTAGGTAGGTATAGCTGATGAGCTCGTTTCACAATAGGAAAAAATGGGTGTCCCACTTTTTATGCTCATGACTGTACTTTCCTATTTGTTTTAAGCTTTAATTGTTGTTCCGATATTTTCTTAGTGTTTCTAGCGAATTTTGCAATAATTTTCCAAAATTGTTAGACACAAATAATATTTGTGCCATCATATTATGATGTTTCGCATTTTCGATTGATATGGGACATACCTTTATAACATTCAAAATCGTTCAGTAAAGTCCAGTTTTCTGCATTGTATCCTCATTTTGGTCATTTTTGTTAAGAAAAAAATTACCGTGTGTGCTTAAGACCACACGACAGAGGTGAAAACCTCAAAAATCAAAACGATTAAAAACGTAGGTGAAATAACAAACATTACAAATGCTTGACCATTGCCGCCATATTGAATTCTGGCATTTGTGATTTGGATAGGTTGTTCAGGGTTGTTTGAAACTTGAACCGAATTTTCGCGACGAATTACTTCCATGATTTCATAAACACAAACGCTTTCGCGAGAAACTCATGACGTCATATCGAACGTAGTTCGCCGGAAGCATCGACGAAGCATAGCTAATGGCTATGTTCCGATATCAACTGCCAGTACTGGATTTACTGTGCTGATTTTACTGTCATTTGCCGTTCCGATTTCAACAGCGTACTTTTGTGCTCATTCAGACTGAATCGACTGAATCCAGTGTACTGAAAATAATATCGAACGGCGTCCAGTAAATTCAGTGCTGACAGTTGATATCAGAACATAGCCAATGAACTACTACACGTAAACTGGAACGGACCTCAGATGCTTTCAATGTTCATGTTTGAGGCAAATTTTATGGTAGTGAGAACGACAATAAAAGGGGTTGTTTGCTCTGTCACACGCGTACATGTTTACGAGCAATGGTGGGGTATGATTAATTTACTTAGTCCACCTACAGTAATGCGTAAGACAAAGACGGCCACCCCTTTTACTCCAATAAAAATTTGCTTCAGGCGTGAGATAAATTCTGGTGCCATTCCATTGGCGTAGTTTACATTTCACTGGTAAGTTGCCTGATAACTTTTATGGCGTCATCTGGGGTGCAAATCTCCATTAGGTTCTACTGATGACGTCAGCTGTTTACCATTACCAAGCAACCTTTTAACTTTAAGAGCCTTGAAGGTTGTTCAAAAGATAGAGGTTGCCTTGCCTGATAATTTTTATGACGTCATCTGTATGCCTAAACATAATGCAAATGTCCATGAGAACTATCTGATAACGTCATCTGTTTGCCATCACCAGACAAGCTGTTCTTTTACAAGCGATTATAAAATTTTGCCAATGATATCGGCAACGTCGTCAAAATTTGTTTTAGGGAAAGTCTCGATTGAATTCCAATCGCGCTATCCCTCTGTCTCCCTCGCACTGCTGACTGTTTCTCTCTCTCTCGCCTGCCTGAGCTTGTTACTTAATTCGAGCGAGCCGACTGTATCCGAACTATTTCCGAATTAGCGTTAACAATTCGGGCGTGACGGCTCAATCTCATTCACTATCCGCAGAAAAATTTTAGTGCTAAACGCGGCTAAAGAAGTTTTCACTTCTAAAATGTCAGAAATATAGTAAGTACACCGCTTTATAGAAGGGTTTTGCTGAACTCTAGAATTAGGCAATCCAAATACCACGTGACATTCAAGATGGCGTGGCGGCCACACATGGGCCAAACTTCATTTTTCAGTCGTGTGCTGCCTGCTGTTTTGTGCTGAAGTTTCACAGTTTTACGCCCCTTAGAAATACCCCTTAAAGCACATAAAAGTTTTATGTGCTTTAAGGTATTTCTGAGGAGTAAATCTGTTAAGTGCAATACGACAAGACAATTCTCATTATGCAGAGCCTATATTTGCAGTCAGGATTATCCACATCCTCTTATTGTTTTTCCTATTATAAAACCATATATTATGATGGTTGAAGACATGATGCAAAATAGCACTCGTTTATTTTTGTGATAAAATGCTTACTACAAACTATTTGATTCATCACTTTAGAATAGATGCTTACCATGCTATTCGTCTCTTTCCTGATAGTTCATTCAAATGCGGAAAACATATACTGATGAACTGGGCACGCTTGGGACCCTGTAGGTTTTAGTGTTTGAAACACGTTGTTTCTTTCTTGGAGGCTTCCACATCCCACAACCACACTTATTGGGCATTTTTACAACACTCTAGAACTGAACAAAAACTTGCAAGCAAAACTCCAAGCAAAATAACTTTAAATACACATCAAAAATACCTATTCCAAGTAAACTTGCTTGGTCGCCATGCCATATTGAATTTGCTAACACATCCTTGGTTCTAACTGAACTTAACGTTAGCTTTAGACATGTTCAAGGTCGACTTTAGGTCTTATAGTCTAGATAAGTCTGAGATCTTCTTAGGGGTCCACTTGCGCCAATATTCCAAGGCCTACGTACTTAAGTTGTACTTATCTTTAAGTACAGACTTACTTTACTTATACTATATACTTACCAAAACCAAATCAATGAGGCATTTCGTAATATTTCAAACACAAACTTCCCTTTTTTCAGTGTCTGTTCACTTCAGGCGAACCAGTAATATGTAAGTCATGCTACGAGTTACTGGAAATGGTTGACAAATTTCGCGTACAATGCCTGCAAACTGAAAAATTGATCAACAAGTACCTGAGCGAAATACAAACTACAGAAATCGATTTCGGTAAAGTGGAACTTCACGATGTGGTATCCTATTGGAATACAATTTATTACGCTGAACCGTACCGTTCCGACTTACCCCGGGAGGATTTGTTTCATTTGGTTGGGAATCAGGGATTGGATGATGGTGAGAATTTTTAAGATTAATATTTTGATAGCCAACCAGAGTTTTTGGAAAACGGTTTGTTTGAACTTACTATGAATATAGAAGGTATGCTCAGATAAGTAAAGACTTTTCGATGAGTTTGTGCATCAACCCAAACTATCGGAATTCGAAAACTCTCAAATAATGTTCAACAGATGTTTAAACTTAGTTGTTAGTTCTCCGAGATATAAATGACTATTTCCAAAACCGCAAGCCTACGATCCAAAAAGAAAACCCCAATGAAATAAAATATGTACCTATAGAAATAACATCGTAATATTCCCAAGAAGTCAAACCAAACTAGGGAAAATCTTGAAGGACCTAAAGATAGCAATGAACATGAAAAAAAAATAAACGAACTGGAAATTCATGAGAGAGGCCTCTGTACTCGCAGGAAAGAAAACGGCTATGGAACTAGGAACTTTTCTGTTATGTTGTTGTTTTTTTTTTCATAGTTGAATAATGCTGAATACCTATATTATCCAGACATGATATTCTGGAAAATTTTTCTATATCGTTTTGCGTTACATAGGTATTATTTTTCTGCGGCAGCTGAGCACACTTTCTATATCATACTATAGTTTGAGAGCAGTCTCATTGACTCCGAGTTGTTCAATCAGAACCTGTGATATGTGAAAACGAATTCACATATTAAGTCCAAGTATCCCTTTCAGGCGAAATATATGTCCGTCAGGCAAATCCATCTGAAATAAAAACAATTGTAAGACCAACAATAAGATCTCCTGTAGATCCTCCACGGACAGTAAAAAACTTACCAGAGAATTTCCAGGGAAACAATAATGATAAATATATGCCTAATACTTGGCTGAGTAGTTGGCGTATGTAAGTAAATTATCAATAGATTGATTAGTTTGAAAACCAGTAACAATCTAAATTTTATTTAGTCCTAAAAAATCTCGCATAAATAGAGATCCCTTGATGCAAAAAAATCTTTTTGGAAATAAAAGATTAGAAGATCGCAGTGTTGACATTGAAAATATCGATGGACAGAAATTATTGGGTAACTCTGACATAAATATTCCTTCAACAGAAAATTGTCCGGATAACTTGTCTGAAAGAGAAAATAATGAAAAACCTTCAGGTAACAAACACCAATGTAAGATGGTTGAAATAATTAATATTCTCCTTTTGGTACAGGTTCAACATCTATTGTCCCTGAAAAATCACCAGTTGTGGAACCTCGAATCAGAGTACGTTCAGCTGCGTCTCTGTTTGAAGCCCGTACTTTACCAAGCACAGATATTACCAATACAGAACATTGTAAAATTGGCTACATATCCAAACCCAAAACTACAAGTGTGAAGGAGGACCTACCTCGAGCTGCGAATATTACTGATCCGATTGAAAACGCACACCTTGTTTCCGAACCAAGAATTTTAACACAAGCATCATTAGCTCATTTTAAAATTCCAAAGATTCCGCCAATTAGGAGAAAAACATTGAAACGAAATCGTAGAAATAATGGATCATATTCAAATGATGTTTTGGATGTTATTGACTCAAGAGACGTCGAAGTTGGTAAGTGATCTGTATTCAACATTTGCTTCAAGTATGACATTTTCATCAAATTGTTTTAATTTTAAGATCAAAATCCAATATTACCTGTCCTAACAACGAATGCCAGTCTAACTTCATTGGGGCGCAATCAATTTCGAGATATAGGTAAGCTTGTACATTTAGGTTTACTCATGACTTTTTGGTTTTTGAGTTAAGAGCGAGAGAAATTTTGAAGATCGGCCTTTCCCCGCAATTATCTATTCCTTTAGCATTCAATTTGATTTTGCTTCTTTTTATATTCTGATCTATTTTTGGTTTCATTCCACTAGAAAATTTAGTCGCCCAATTTGCGCCATCTGAATGTAGAGGATCTACTGAAAATTCACTTAGTATTCAAGGAGAACCTCAGTTAAGGAGTAAAAGAGAACGGCCTGATGAGCAACCTCCCTCTAAAAGACATAAGAAGAACCCAAAGGAACAGTAAGTACAATATTTGTTTTACGAAAGTAGGATAGTTGAAACATTAATTAGGTACTTATGGATGGAAACAGCTAACCCAAAACAAGTTACATCGTACAATGCAGTGCTAAATCAAACTAAAAACTTATATTATTTTTGTAGACCTAGAGACTCCTATTGTATTCCTCCTATTGAGTGCACGGCACGGGGCGATTATGCCAACGATCATGATTATTTAAGAGGTCCCTATGACATAAATGATATGAGAATTAAACGATCAAAAGGATACGCCACTTGGTGTTTGCTGTGCGACACTACCCAAGCAGCTCATCAACATCAAGGAGTAAGTAGAACCTACCAATACTTAGCATTTACTGATGTATAAACATTACAAAGTTTTCTAAAATGTTTTTAGTTTATTCTTATAAGACTCAACTTTTTTCAGCACCTGCGAAAACACGATACACAATGCATGATCTGCGATGTAAATTTCGAAAACGTTTTTCTCCTAAACATGCACGCAAGAGAACACTTCGAGCATTGCTCGTCTTGCAACGAGACCGTCACTTATGCCCAATTTTCGCCCCATTTACAAACTCATCTCAGTTTGTACGACGATGCCAAACAAAAAACACCTGTGGCGAGGTTAGAATATTAAATTATTTTTTTTTATTTATGCTGATATTATATTTTAGGGTGATTAAAGAGGGTGAACAACCTTCTATTGCTAGCTGTGATAATAAGCAAAAGACTGAGTTTAGTACAAATGGTAAGTTTCTTTAAGATAATTCATTTTGATATCTTTTACAGTTTTGTGTTTTTTTTTTTGTTTTTAGGAATGCAATCTGATAGTGAAGAAATTCTAGGAGATGATGATATGGAGTTTATAAGTCTTACAAACTTATGTGATACAAGTAATGAATCACCTTTAATTAATCATGTTTATTTAAACGAACCCCAAACCTCACTTATTGCTTCTAAAACCTCCACAACCCTAAACAAACAAAATTTAAATAAATCTAATGATTTCGAAGTAAGTGATGATGAAATTCAAAGCAATGAAACTGTGATATTGGCTAAGGATAAGGCTGGAGTATACGAACATTGTGAATCAAGTACTACAACTGGAAATATTGCCGAAATGCCTATAATTCTTGAAAAAACTATTGTTACCGACAAAAAATCCTCATCTAAAAGTAATTCAGAAGGAAACGTTGCAGTTCCTGAAGCAGTCCAAAGTCCGAATTTTCAATTACCATCGAGTGAAGAAGAAACAGTCACTGAAAGTTATTCAGAAAGAGACTCTGATGAAACTACAGTTCATGAATCAGCCAAAAGTACGAATTTGCAACTACCATCGAGTGAAGAAAAAACAAATGGAGAACCAAAAGAAACATCAGTTGAAGAGTGTATTATAGAAAAGCTCTTAAGCTCTAACAGCTTTTTTGGAAAAATTGCAAACGATGCTGTTGAAATGGCAGAAACTATTGTTGCAGCAAATATTCCTAAGCAAACCAGTGAGACTATTTTGAACACAGTTAAATCAGCAACCAGGGCCAGTTTAAAAGAGTTTTTGGAAAATTTCGACAAAGATAGCTTAAAAAGGCTGTCAGGCGAACAAAGGTCTCCTGTACTTGTAGCTGAATATGACGAAATTGATTCTTATAGTAGTTTGCAGCCGGGACCCGGAAATATATCCCTTATTGTGGAGGATCCTAATACTACTGCTGAAGCAAGTTCAAATGCCACACAGCAATCAGATGATGATTCTATTAAAGTAGCGCCAGATAAATCATTGGATAAATTAGTATCATTAAATGAACCTGAAAAAATGAAAATTAAGAGATCTCGAGGTAGGCCAAGGGGTGCCAAATCCTTCAGAACTTCAAATCCACCTTCAAGCTCAAACACTGTCCAAAAAATACCAGTTAAGAGACGTTCATCAAGAAAAAGAGTTCCCAAAAAATTTGGAAATTTATACATACAAAATATAGAAAAAACCAGTCAATATGACTCAAATATTTTTAATGACCCACCTGAATTTTTTCAAAATTCTTCATGGCTCAACCCTAGCAGAAGTTCTAACAAATTACATACATCCAGTTTATTTAATTTCCAAGAAGTACCAGTCAACAACAAAACATACTATCCTTTAACTGTAGCTAAATTAAATGAAGCTCTGCTATCAGTATATGCTAATATTCGGAAAGAAACTGAAAAACGTCAAAAGTCTGAATCCGAGGGAAGTTTTGTTGACATTATGAGTGATTCTTTTGATACTAATGAATTACAACCATCAAGTTCAGATGAAAATAAAGTTAAAAAGTCAACTGGTAAACGAGTGCCTAAATTACCAACAAAGGAACTTTCATATAAGCCCAAATGTGTTAAGAAATATGAAAACAAACGGAAACTGGCTAAATTAGTAAGTAGTTCAAATGCACCATCAAAATTGAATAATCTTGACAGTGAACGAAGATCTTTATTTGAGGCTAGTTTAAACGATGCACTGCAATCATTCGTTGAGAGTATTGATGAACCAACGCCAGATTATTTCCAGATACAAATTGACGAGCCTCCAGTTGGATGTGAAGGGTCCGATTTTAATAGTAGTTCAGAAAAGCTTGATACTGGAAATAGTTCACCACAACCATCAACTTCAGCTGATCTTCAAAAAGAAAATAAAATTGAAGAGTTAACTGGTAAAGGTGTGCCTAAGCTTCGTTTAAGCAAGCTTTTAGATAATCCTAAACGCGTTAAGAAATATCAAAACAAACGGAAACTGGCTAAATTAGTTAGTAGTTCAAATCTACCATCAAAAGTGAATATTCTCGAAGAATCATTCGTTGGTAGTATTGATGAACCAACGCCAGATTATTTTCAGATAGATATTGAAGAGTCTCAAGTTGAATGTGAAGGGTATGATTCTAATAGTAGTTCAGTAAATATTTTGAATTTTCCTCCAGAAGAAGCTATTCAAAAGCTTGATACCGGAAATAGTTCAACTGAACCACAACCATCAAGTTCAGCAGAAAATAAGGTTGAAAAGCAAACTAGTAAACGAATGCCTAAATTATCAACCAAGCTTCATTTTAACAAACTTCTAGATAATCCTAAACGCTTTAAGAAATCTCAAAACAAACGGAAAATGGCTAAATTAGTTAGGAGTTCAAATCTGCCATCAAAAGTGAATATTTTCGAAGAAACATTTGTTGGTAGTATTGAGAAACCAACGCCAGATTATTTCCAGATACATATTGAAGAGCCCCCAGTTGAGTGTGAAGGGTGCGATTCTAATAGTAGTTTAGTAAATATCTTGAAAGATCCTCCAGAAGAGACTCTTCAAAAGCTTGATACTGAAAATACTTCAAATGAACCACAAACATCAACACCAATTAATCCTCAAAAAGAAAATAAAGTTGGAAAGCTAACTGGTAAACGAGTGCCTAAATTATCAAGCAAGCTTCGTTTTAACAAACTTCTAGATAATTCTAAACGCTTTAAGAAATCTCGAAAGAAACGGAGACTGGCTAAATTCGTAAGATGTTCAAATCCACCATCAAAAGTGGATAATCTTGAAGAAGAACCAGTTGAAAATAAAAATTACTTAGCCGGACGAAGATCTTCTGTATTTCTGGCTAGTTTAAACGATGCACTGCAATCATTCGTTGATAGTATTGATGATCCAACGTCAGATAAACTTCAAAAAGATATTGAAAAGCCTCCAATTGGAAGTGAACGGTGCGATTCCAATAGTTCAGCAAATGATCCTTCAAAAGAAACTGATACCGGAAATAGTCCAAATGAAAAACAACCATCAAGTGTAGCTAATCCTCTAGAAGAAAATAAAATTGAAAAGTCAACTAATAAACGAGTTCCTAAATTAACAACCAAGCTTCGCTTAAACAAACTGTTAGATAATCCCAAACGCGTTAAGAAATCTCAAAAGAAACGGAAACTGGCTAAATTTGTTAGCGGTTCAAAACCACCATCAAATGTGAAAAAAATCCTTCCAGATTTCTCAGAGCTTGATACTGAACAAGAACCATCAACTTCAGCTAATCTGCAAAAAGAAAATAAACTAACTGGTAAACGAGTACCTAAATTACCAACCAAGCTTCGTTCAAACCAAGTTTCAAATAATCCTAAACGCGTTAAGAAATATAAAAAGAAACGGAAACTAGCTAAATTAGTTAGTAGTTCAAATTCACCATCAAAAGTGAATAATCTTGAAGAAGAACCAGTCGAAAATAAAAATTACTTAGCCGGACGAAGATCTTCTTTATTTGCGGCTAGTTTAAATGAAGCACTACAATCATTCGTTGATAGTATTGATGAACCAATATCAGATTATCTTGAAAAAGATTTTGTACAACCTTTAGCTAGACCTGAAAGGTGCGCTTCTAACAATAGTCCAGTAAATATTTTGAATACTCCTCCAGAAGAAACTCTTCAAAATCCAGATACTGGAAATAGTTCAAATGAACCACAACCTCGAAAAGAAGATAAGGTTAAAAAGTTAAATGGTACACGAGGGCCCAAGTTAACAAACAAGCATCGTTTAAAGAAGCTTTTAGATAATCCGAAATGTGTTAAGAATTATTCTGAAAACAAACGGAAACTTTCTAAATTAGTAAGTGGTTCAAATCCAGCATCAAAAGCCAATATTGAACAATCTTATTTAGTTGGACGTGAAGGGTACGACTCTACGATTAATTCAGCAAATCATTTGAATACAGAAATTCTTCAAAATTCTACTGAGCTTGATACTGAAAGTAGTTCGATTGAACCACCACCATCAACTTCAGCTAATCTTCAAAAAGAAACTTTAGTTAAAAAGTTACCTAAAAGGTTACGAAGATTACCAAAGAAATACATTCAAGAAATATTGCCACCTCCAGCTACAAATCTTTCAATTAAAAATCAGATGAGGCGAAAAAGCTTAAAACAATCTAGCAACTTCGCTGAACAAAAATTTGAATTAGTGAGTGATAATAAAGAGTTGGCAGGCAAAGCAAAGTTGTTGGAAAACAGCTCACATTCACAAGTAGTGAGTGAATCTGCTCTGATTAAAATGAAAGACATTGTGCAATCTGAAGAAACTCAAATTCTGTCTGGAAGGAAAAGGAAAAGGGGAGTTTTGGAGCTCGAAGCAAGAAACATAGCAGTTTCCGAAGAAGATGAACCAACATTAAAGAGAAATGATATTCAAAGAACAGCCACGAGCCTGATTGAAGGAACCAACTCATCTGAAAGCAGTGGAAGCTTGAATTTAGTGGGTAAGTTTGGAAAAATTATGTTTTGTTAAATTAGTCAATTGGTTTACCACTATATGAATTTTTCTCTCTCTTTTTTTCACAGAAGGATTAAGAGTCAACGCAACTAGAAGATCCTCGCGAACACCTAAGAAATCTAGGAAAATATCTGAATGATAAAAAATAGAAATTTCTTGAACAGACGTTCGAAACAGTGACGATGTAAAATGATCTGACTTTGAATTTGATCTTATTGTCGAAGTTCTAGGGCCTGCTTTAGAGTCTAGACTACTCTGGACAAAAGCAAAAGTTGTGCCAGATATTTTTTTAAGCTAACCTGGAACTGAAATTTTATCAATGAATTTTCTCATATTATTGTTCCTCTATATAGAATCGGCTGTGCAGAAGAAATTTTAGAATTAAATTTTCCAGTAATCGAATATACAGATTTAAAAAATGCCTATACATAGGTAGATTACCAAGTCAGATTTTTTTTATTAATTAGTTATTTTCCAAACGTTTTAGGATTGAAACTGTTTCTTTTTTTTTTTTTTTGTATGAGAATGTTCAGTTTAAGTTTTTCTTTTATGTATGATTGTATGATTTTTTTTTGGTTACAATAAACCTTTTTCTTTTTATTGAGATACTTTCTCCCCTAATGTCGGAATCTTATTGGCAAATAATTCCAATCAAAGATAATATGGTATTTTCCCAATTTATATGAGCACCTATCGCAATAAATTACCGCCAAAATTACCTGCGGCACTTAGCAAGTCGTGATTTTAGAAAAATTAATAAATAATTATAAAAAATATATAAATAGAAAATTTCAAAAAACAAAAACATTTATTTATGGAATTTCCTTGACTGCTTCTTCATAGCTAGGTACAGACTCATCTTCTCCATCAATCTCAATAACTGTAAAACTTTGAATATCCACAGAAGGTACAGTGGTATCAGAAGTTACACCGTCTGAGGAAATATTTACAGCATCTGAATTTTCTAGTGGTTTAGGCATTGTTAAGGCATCCACATACTTAGGCGGAGGATCTGCTGATGCCTTATTTTCATCCACATTTTGTACAGATTCATTTGGATTCGGTACAACCAATCCTGTAATAAGTTATCAACCAATAAGTATAGATACAATTGAAATTTTTAACTTACGATTTCGATACATCGAAATCAAGGTCTGCAGTAAGTTATCCACGCTGTTGGTATCTACGTTTCTTTGATTGTCTTGCCTATCTTGTGCCGATTGACGTTCTTTTTCTAATTTTTTACAGTACCAACACAACAAATAGCAAAGCAATATTATGCCAAAAACAAATATCCTATAACATAAAAATAATTAATTTGGAAGTTTATAAAAATAAATTATAAAATCTACCAAAAGGTCCACGATTCATAGTACTTGAACATTAGCGCTGGGCAACAGCCATTTCCGCGGTCGCAGCAAGTTTGATAATTGTAGCACACGTATTTCAGCACAGAAGTGACGTTATAGTTGCGTCTGTGATTTCCGTGTAAGGTGCAGAGTTTTACGTTTTCCATTTGCATTAGTTTCGGAATTTTTTCAATTATGGTTTGGCCATAATTTTACAAGAACTTTAATGACAAAGATTAAAAGTGGTACGTGACAGTTTATAATTTTTGATGTTTGGTTTATTGTCAATGTTGTTATGTCTAATTTATCATAATCTGCATTATTTATCTCTGATCTGCATGCACTTTTACAGACACAGAGCAAAAATAATATTGTACGTTGAAATTTTTTTTACAAATTGTCAGAATGTCTATCCTACTGTTTAGTTTATTGTTTTATAAGAGGTGAATGTTGAGTTTGTCTTATCAGTCATAGGTAACAGAGAAAATAATCGGTTAACAAAAAACCATAATTTATTTAGAAATAATTAATAAAACCGAAAATTATTCTCCTAATACCTAATAATTTATATACTTAAAACGATATTTCCAAAAATAATTGCAAATGTAAGCATATTCACTATATAAAGAAAAAAATAAGTTTTCACATAATAATCTTCATATACCTAAGTACAAAGAGAAAGCAAAAGCAATAATGCGACAATTTTTACTACTACTGTCTGTTCTGATCCAACCAACTTTACTTTGTTAATATTGTATCTCGAAGATGGAAAAAGAACAGATCTTTCAAACATTATTATCTTCTTTTGTATGAAAACTTCAAAGTTTCGGGATTTATTTTGGACTAAGCAAGTTCGGCAAAAATACTTAATTTTTATCCCATTATATGCACCATTTCCAAACATGCTATCAACATTTTATACAATGGTAAAATCATGATTTATCCAAAGTCATCACTGAATAAAGAATTTAAGTCCACATCTTCCAATGCCTCTTTCCATATTTGTTCTTGTTCAATGCTGTCATTTTCAATGGTTAAGTTAACATCTTCTTTTGGTTTTAGACAAGATAGGAAATTATTCTCGCCATTCACTAAATTACAATTATTATTAACCGCTTTATTGGAAGTTTTTTTGAAGGTGAATTTTTTGGTACCTGTTACCATTTCTTCTCTATTTATTTGATTATCAGATATTTCTGGTTTTTGTTTATCCTCAAGTAAAAAGTCTGATATTCCACTATTTTGAACAGTCGTAGGATTTTTTTTAAATGTAAATAATGGTTTATGTCTATTATCCAACAAAACACTATTATTATCATTTGAAATAGGAGAATTAGCACTTTTTTGACAAGTTTTAGCTATAAATGTATTGTTAAAGGGCCTTTTGCAGACATCATTATAAGAATTGCATTTTAAAATATTCCTATTTCTAACATTTATTATCGCTATCTCCTTTTTTCTAGATTCATACTCTGTAAGTACTTCTTGAGGTACTATTTCATTTATCACAGTTTTTTCTCCTTGTTTGTATACAGCACTAAGATTTTTAGAGTTTATAGTCAAGTGATGGTTGTCACATTTTTCACAACTACATGATAGTACACCGAATTTTGCTAGAACCAATACGGATCCTAGGATTAGAAAATTGGCATGCTGCTCATAGAGGCTGTAAACTATATTTCCCTGAATTGTACCTGAAAGTAATAATTAGCCTGAACTTGAATTTTATTTATGAAAAAGTGAAATTTTACCTGAAAAATCCTTCAAAGTAACATTAACAGATTTATGTTTCTGATCCTTTGTTACTTCCAATGATACCAACACGCCTGCCAAAAAAGGGGCTTTATGAACCGCAAATGCATTAGCATTTGCTTCTCTTTTAATCCAGGCAATATTAAATCTATCATACAAATGTGAAGAATTACTTATTTTAAAGTCCTTTGACATCTCTTCCCAGGGACCACCTTTAAAAATTGTTGAGGATTTTTGTGAACAGATTTCTAATTGCTGAAATTAAAAAATATATTGATTTAGTAGGACTCAATAAGAGCAATAATTATCATTATGTGAAGATGTTTATGTGATACCTAAGGTATGTTTCCACGGAATTCACAAACCAAAAAACTGTTTGTTGGCGATTTGCACCAATCAAAAACGCTCTCACTGGTTTGTGATTTCTGTGAGAACAGACTTTATCTATTTAAAAAGGATGTGAAACTGTAGAGGTTTAAATAGCATATCAGATAAAAAGTCCAAATCAATAGAGATGTTTAACTGCAATAAGATTATGATTAATGAACTATGAATTCAAAATATAAGGGATTGATTGCATTTTTTTACTTACGCTAGAAGCAATAGATGGATCTTCATCAGCAAAAAGACCAGCCGGTCCAGGAAACAGCCTTTTAGCAGTATTTGGTGTATAACACTTTGTGTGATTTGATTTTTGTTGAATCACTATTGAAGGAGAACTTTCACTGTCCCAAGAATCATCTAGCTTGGGTTTCTTTGCCACACAACCATCAATTGGTTGGCTTGCTCTTTTTAATGGTGTTGACGATTCATCTTCATCAAAAGCTACGTTAAGTAAAATTTCCTAAGGAAAATATTGATAAAAAGGTTTATATCAGAAATCTCTTTAAAGATCTTACATCATTTTCGTCAACATTTGGATTATTGAACATTCTTAATAATGGTAAAACATCTAAATCTAGATATTAAGTACTATTAATTTATATTATTTATTAATTAACTCTAATCTTGCAAATTTGAATGTCTGAATACTGAAAAGAAAACTTCAGAAAACTGAAAACAAAACATTTCAAAAGTTTCAAATCAAAACATCTCCCGATACAAGTATCGATACATTTCGATCCGGTTCAAGGTTTGTTCGCGTACCGCGTACTACTCCGAACCAGGCTTGGAACCAGATTGTCATAGAACGCGTGCTGAAGCATGAATCAGTTCAGAATTCTATTTTACCAGAGCCATCAAATGATTGCCTCGAACTTGCGGTTCTTGTTAACTGCCCATGCGAATATTATTCCGAATCAAGTTCTAAGTCCCTATACCGCAAACGATTTTTTTTTTGTAAACCTGTAGTGTGCTGCTCCAAATTGTTTCTTAGCAGTCGGATTTTATTTCATCAAGCTGATCGAATCTGGTGCAGCACTCTTTGCTCCGAGTACAATCAGTTCCGCACCTACTCTTGTAGTCTTGTGACTCAGTACGCATTCAATTTATCATTTGAATCCGCAAATTATTGCGAACCACTGCAAGATTCATTTGACACTCGTTCCAAACTGTCGGTTCGAACTGCACTAGAGCTATTTTTCTACGAAAATAAACGTCAAATAATTATTCTGGGATAGCTTTTATATAATCTGAATCTTTTATTATGATCGAGAATAGAATTGAGTGGTTATTTCACAGCTCCTTCTCACTTTACTATTCAAGACTTACCCCCTTGCTCTGCTCTGATTTTCTGTGATTAACTTCATTCCACTCCACTTTCGGATTGGGTATTAGGCAATCCAACGACCTGTCCAAATGGACGCGGATTCTGTGCTCTGTCGACTGTCGCTTTCTACATGTCGCATGTCGAATTCTAGTGTTGTTCTAGTGTTGTTGGTGTTCTACTTAAGTAGGAGTTAAGCTAAGCCCAGGATTTCTTCAGTTAATATAAGAGGAACTCGTGTAGAAAATGAAACAATAGTTGTATTCCTTTCAAGAGTTTGAAATACTACTCGCTCCGGTGTTCAGTTGCCCCGATTTGCAGAAAACAGATGCGTGGTGCAACAAACACTTTTCGAAAGGAATAAGCGCGTGAAGCCCCGGAGCCTATTCCGGAGCTCCTCCTAGGTGTGGGTGTGAAAGGAATACAACTATTAGGGAAATCCAATTAAAATGGCGGCCAATGCCAAAAAATTGGCGCCATAAATTTAATTCAAATAACTGTGACATTTTTCATCGTGGTGTTTTAAGCTTGGAAGCTTGGAAGCTTGGAAGGACAATTTTCGTATTTTAAGATGGACAGTTTTTAGTTTAAGAAATTATTGGTGGAAAACCCGGATGTTTGCAAAAGTTATGATTTCTTTGTGATAAATAACCGTTACTCACTAAACAATTAGGTAGATACTATTTAAGATTTGTTTCCTATTTAGTTTTTTCTTAACCCAATCCTGAATCCTGATGTTTATTTTATTTGTCTGCTATTTAAGGTATAGACACAAGTTGAGGACGAGGTGGAGGATAGTAAATTGGGTTTGAATCCATACAGCGCTTATGTGGAGAGACTTTTTGGTTTTTTAATATGGATTTCGTCAGATTTTCTCTGTTTTGCTGCAATCCATGAAGCCCTACAAAGTACAGACAGACGTTTTTCTCCGTTAAAAACCTGAGTTTTGTCCCTGCAGGAACGGCAGGAAACGAGATTCTCTCGCGATTAGAACGGCTCTCACATCTAAGTAAAATACATAACGTATGCATTTTTCAAAAAATCAACACTTTACATACTTACACAAATCAAAAGTCGCAATAAAACGTAGTGTTTTTGGCATTGGCTTCCATTTGGAATTTATTTTTGACAAGTCGTTGAATTGCCCCAAGGATGATACACACTACTACAGGATAGCCTATCCTCATAAGACCTGTGTGTAACAAAACCCCCCTACCCCCTTTACAACAACCAGTTGTGACGTAAATAGCGTGGCGTTTCTCGCCTTGACGTACGCTGTTCAAACAGCTGAGGACTTAGTTATGACGTTGCAATGGTTGAAAACAGTTGAAAACCAATATGGCGGCTATTATCAAAAACGAGGCCGATAAGCACTCCTCATTGCTCCTTAGAGTGTGTATTCTCCTTGGGATTGCCCTATAAACAAAAAAATTCTAACCTCATTAAAATTTCAAAATGCCGGCTGGTTGGCAAAAGTCAAGGATGATACACACCTACAGGATTGCTTATCGGCCTCGTTTTTGCCAATTGCCGTCATATTCGTGTGTTATCACCAATGAACTATAGCTAAAAACTGGAATGCGCACACATTGCCATATCTGCCAAAAAAATGAAGCCATGAAAGACAGATGCCACAAGGGGGAATGTTGTTTTTTTCTGTTGCTCGCTGTCATATGACGTTTTCAAAGTTTTGTCATATTTCCCTTCACAGGTTTCATCGATTGGAATACGTGTTGGAAGCAATTTTCGCCATTTAACATAATGAGTGCGACAAAAACAGGTATCCCCTCCGCAGCAGCTGCACTAGGCTTCACGTTCGTCCTTATGTGTTAGCATTCCAGTTTTTGGTTATAGTTCATTGGTTACCACTTCCGACGTCATAACTAAGTTGTCAGTTGTTTAAACATCCAACGTCAAGGCAAGAAATAACATGCTGCTACGTCACAACTGGTGATTAATATGTAGTAGTAAATTCTATGATCGTTGGGCAAAGTTCATGTAGTTTGGATTCCTTAATTGGGAATTGGAACGAAGAAGGTATCACTTTTGCGTCAAAACTGCTCCCGATTGATCAAAAAGCGATCCGAAACGGATTGTTCAGCTTAAAACGGAAAGTTGCTCTCAGCGAGATTCACGTGTACGACTTGAGAAATAGAACGCTCTCAAATCGCGCACGCACTCTCTTTCCTGCTCATCCGTCATAAGCTCCGTTTTGGTTCGGCAGAAACCTCAAGGAGCGACTATAAATTTGGCCCTTATGGCCGGTTTCTCAATAGCAGGTCACCTCCGGGTTAAGCTAACTCCAGGGTAAATATTGTAATTTTACACGTTAACCTTGGAGTTAAAACCAACCCGGGGGTGACTCGTTATTGAGAAACCGGCCCTTAAACCAAAACGCTGTCAAAACAGTTCGATTACGATTCTGAAAAAACGAAAATGAATTTTATAACAATGATTCCGAACTAGTTCTGAGTGAAACCAAAACAAAGCTATTTCCGATGGATCATAGAGTTTTATGAAAACAGAGAACGTTCAGCTATTGGATTGTGTTATTATCGCTCTCGGAGTACTCCTTCAGAGATCTTTGACGTCATCGCCCAGACAGGAAGTGCTCGAGAGCAGTAAAGCCAAAAATAGTTGTATTCCTTGCACGAGTTTAGAACACTAGAGCGATAGTCGACCTCTATTTGAAAGGAAAAGATTCGCTGGCTTTGGTGCATGGAGAAACGTCACTTTAACGAATACTTATCCCTAAGGCTTCCTTAAAATGGTCGGTGTAAACGGCCATAAATGGTTTGAGTTCGGTCTTGAGTACTTCCTGTGCAACAAAAACTTTTCGAAAGGATAAGCGCGTAACGCCCCGGAGCACCTCCTAGGTGTGAAAGGAATACAACTCATGTTGCCCTATCTACCTTTCCCTGCCCTTTCGAAAGCAAGTGTTCATGCTCACATGAACTTAAAACTTTAGTTGAAGCGTTTCTTAACCCGGTTAAGTGACTCTAACTACCCGAGTAAGATTTATTTAGGTAGAATATAACCCAGGTTGTCGAATCGTGAATATATTTTTTACGTTATATTTAGGACCAAAAATGGTCGCGTTCCTGCTGGAAATACGTTATTAAGTATACTACTCTTTCCTGAGGCCAACTCCGACAAACCTGCGGGCATTTTCTGAGTAAGTTTACGCTACGAAAATGTACTGAATTCTTGAAAGAACTTTTTTCTATTTTGGTGTCATATCGAAGTCTTTTCGAAAAGAAGCTCTTTGTGACACTCCTTTTTTACTTATCGGAGGTTGGTTACACTGGCTGACTGATGGCCATCGAACTGTCATTCGCGATTTTATGGCCTCACAGCAATCACAAACCAGTCAGAGCGAATTTCATTGGTTGAAAACAATCAGAAACAGTCAGAAAACTAGTTTCAACCAATGAGGTTCACTCTGACTGGTTTGTGATTTCTCTGCGAACAGACCTTTTATAGCATTTCTATATTTGGCATGCAGTGTTACCAACCTAAACATATGAAATCAGGAAATATAAGAATAAAATTTCCAAGAAAAGTTTGTTTTTTTCAATTAAACAATACCAAAATAGAAAAAATAGTATAAAATATTCGTTTCATAAGACATTTCATCGCACTCGCCCTTTAGAAAACTCGCCTCCGGCTCGTTTTCTAATATAGGGCTCGTGCGATAAAATAACGTCTTATGAAACTTGTATTTTAATGTACTATTTTCTAACTGTAACGTATTTTTGGCACTTAATTAGGATTATACAAAATAGTTAATAAATTATCAAGACGACTGACAGCTAAAAATAACGAAATGAATCGACACGCATTATTTGAAAATGTTTATATAAATCATGCAACGTCGCGCGCCGTTGCCAAATATCTGAAATTGCCCTACTTTAAATGCGTTGAAAAGTACTTTTAGTTTTGTTCGATTGGCAGCAGAAATTTACTAAATGTGACGTCATCCTAAATATAGGGTAAAAAGCCTATAGTTGTATTTCTTTCACATCTAGGAGGAGCTCCGGAACAGCTCCAGGGCGTTACGCGCTTATTCCTTGCGAAAAGTGTTTGTTGCACCTGAGTGCTGAAGCCCGACTCAAACCATTTACTCGTTTCGTGTCGGTTCCAACTGCACTAAAGCTATATTTCAACGAAAGAAAATCGCAAATAATTGTTTTGGGATAGCTTTCATATAATTCGAATCTTTTATAGCTTTGGGCGGTTTCTTTTATTCACCGATGTATCCATCGATGACCACTCTATCTTTGTCTAGTTCATAGAAAATCGGTATGGCTGTCTCATAATGGTGGCAGCAAATGAATCCATCGAAGAATAAAAGAAAGCTCTCACTGTTCCAACCCAGGCAGGGAATCCTACATTTCACCATCAGGATTCTGTGCAAAACGTAAAATTTGTGTATAGAATCCGAAATTTGTAAGGACGATATTTTGGCGGGTGGGAACAGACCGTATAGAATCACAGATTGAGAGCGAAGTTCACAGGCGCTTCATTTCTTTTGGGATTGAATATTGGTAAGAATTGCTGAATAGGTATCATATATTAAAATAAAGTCCATATTTGAAAGAACAACAGACTTTGTTAGGTTTTCGCAGCAGAATGTTTTTTCCAGTCCTCGAAGAAAAATCCAAAATACATTAAAAAAGCAGTAGAAATAGATAGCATCTTATTTCATATTTTACTATGTTGCCCTATCTACTCTCTCTCGAAAGCAAGTGTAGGTTGAGCATGATGAACAGAAAAATTTTTGGAACAATAAGCACATCCCAAATTTTTCTGCTCCAAAACACAATCGAACGCCCACGCCTAGGAAGTACTCGAAGCAATGCGAACAGACTATCTATTGCTCGATCTATTGTTTTAAATCATCAAATTAGTGCAACAATCAAAGACTGCTCTGAAATTTCTTGCAATTAGTTCAAGTTGGTGCAGAGCAAACTTCATGAATCAGCTGTTTAACAAATTTTAATTCGTCCACCTATACTCCTACTCCCAGACCACATTACTGTTAAACGAATTCCGAATTGTTTATATTTAATATTTTGATTTTGAATTTAAATAATGGTAAAATAATCTACTAGCAAAAGCAAATCATGGTTTTAACGAAGGAACCAAAAAGAAATAAAACTAAAGATGTGTCATCAAAAAAAACAGAACTTGTTCCACAAACCCAATGCCGAATATGCCTTTTTCAATGTTCCGGCTTATCGTTAGATGCCCCATTAACTGGGGATGAAAGTTCCAAGACTTTAGTCTTTGAGGCCCTAGAAGTCGTCATCAAGGAAAAGGTAACCAGAGGGCCAAATTATCCAGACATAATTTGTGAGAACTGTTTCGGGTATTTAAAGATTTCTTATGTATTGATTACACAGTATCATTTGTCCAAAGTAAGGCTTTTGGAACAACTGGAGGGATATGGAGAAGAACTTACCACCAATGGTAATTGTAAGTGGACTTCTGTTTTAAATGTGACTCATTTGTATTACCTAAGTAAATGTAATTTTTAGCTAAGGATGAAGTAAAGAAATATTTGCCAAACAAAACAGCAACTAAGAATTTTGTCGAGATAGTAGTAGGCACAAAAAAATATAGTATTGAAGATTTAGTTATTGTTGAAGACAAAGATGAGAGAGACGAGTCAGGGGTCTATGAAGGTTTTCTACGAAACCTTGGTACTTCAGTTAGTGCCACTTTTGTTAAAAAAGGGCACTGCAAACCTAAAATTGATTTAGAGCCTTCATCTCTTACTCTCGATATTAAAAAACTTGAAACAGGTTCAGCTTTGTTTGTATAAGAACAGTAAAACATATTTGATAACTTTTTTTTTCTTTCTAGAAAATCACTGTGATAATGAAGATGTCAGAGCTAGTCCTAAACCTGGAATTGATTTAGATGCTTCTTCTCTTGATATTGAAGAACTTGAACTAGGTTTAGTTTTGTTTGTATAATAAAACATGTTTGATAACTCTTTTTTTCTAGAATATTACTGTGATAATGAATATGTCGAGTTCATTCCTAAACCTAATATTGATTTAGAGGCTCCATCTCTTGATATTGAAGAACTTGAACAAGGTTCAGCTATTTCTTTGTATACTAAAACATGTTAGATAACTCTTTTTTTCTAGAATATCACTGTGATAATGAAGATGTCGAACTTACTCCCGAACCTAATATTGATTTAGAGGCTTCATCTCTTGATATTGAAGAACCTGAGCAAGGTTCAGCTATTTGTTTGTATACTAAAACATGTTTGATAACTCTTTTTTTCTAGAAAATCTCTCTGATAATGAAGATGTTGAACTCACTCCTAAACCTAAAAATGATTTAGAAGCTCCATCTCTTGATATTGAAGAACTTGAACAAGGTTCAGCTCTGTTTGTATACTAAAACATGTTTCATATCTTTTTTTTTTTCTATAGTTGTTGAACTCACTTCTGTAGGTGAAGATATAGTTTTGCCAAGTAGGGTCATAGAATATAAATGTCCTTATTGTTTGGAGATATTATCCACCAGTAGTAGATTAATGCAACACTTTACTGAATGTACCAAGAGAGTTTCAGCCTTAAGGAGAAGGGCAAATCCAAAAAAACAAAATCAATGCCGGATTTGTGGGGAAGTTTTTGCAGCCTTGGGTTCATACTATTATCATTGCAAAAAGCATGATGGTAAACAACATGGCTGTAAGATGTGTGACAAAAAGTTCTTTACAGCTTCTCAAGCTAGACGTCATTTGCAAATTCACAACAAAGAAAAAACTATAGAAATATGCCAAATTTGTGGCAAAGGATTTCATTACCGTAGTGGTTTATTTTATCATATGAAAATGCATAATAACACACGAAACCTACTTTGCAGTTATTGCCCCAAAACGTGAATATTGATTAAATTATCACTTAGTTTGTGTTAATATAATAACTTGTTTCAGGTTTTATACTCAAACTTCTTTAAAACGTCATGAACTGACTCATACTGGCGATAGACCTTTTTCCTGCCAGTATTGCTCAAAAAAGTTTCGTTCAAAAGATGAAAGAAAAAAGCATTATTTAGGCCACACAGGAGACCGTCCTTATTCTTGCAAATATTGCGAAATTGGCGCTCGAACTTTGTTTAATCTTAAACAACACATGACCACTCATCCTGGCGAATTCTTCTGTACGCGCTGCGATAAAACTTTTGCTGACAATGATATTTTACAGTAAGAATTTTTTTTATTTTTTGTTTCTTCTTTTGTAATTTAATTAGGTTTCATTTGAGACACAAACACAAAGAAGAGGAAGAAGATAATGTATCTGCAATAAATGGAGAAGGGACTAGTGAAATTTCTGATCAGTGGTTTGATGACCCTGATGAAATTGTGGTAGTTGAAATAATGAATATTGATTTAGAATAAGATCCAACCAATTTGTTTTGTTTTTTGTAATTAAATTACATCAAATCTGCAAACAATGGGTTAGCAGTATAATTACATTGATTATTTTAAACAGGCCTTCTTTTAATTAGGATATGAGCTAATAAAACGAGCAGGTACTTGTGAGATGTTTAATGTCTGGATGCCAAAAGACATAAAATTGCAAATTGGCCATCTTATTTTGCACCTTACATTTATCATACATTATTTAATCACATCGATGATTTCTGTAGAAATTTTTACATATTCTAAAATGGTTTTAAGTTCAAATTTAAAACATAATGAACCCCATTGAAGGAGAAACAAATAATCTTGGAATTATTTTCCACGTCAATGAAGATCATTATAAAAAAACACATTGGCAGTGGAATATTTCTCCTACTAATTATTAACGCCTATTTGAAAAAATAATTAATATGAACCCATAATTATGTTAATATTGTAATTATTATTATCTTAAAATAATAGAGTTTATTTTGATAATAAAACTTTTAAAAAGTACAAATCTTTTGTAATAATTTACTCTACCAAAAATGTTAAAATTGAAAAATGCCATTTTAGAATATTTCTCCAAATCTAAATAAAATAACAAAAAATGGTTGTTTGTTAAACTATCAATAGATTTAATTTATCTTCATTCGTGGATGGCATTACCTTCGTACTTTTAAAAGTTCAATTGGTTACCTAAATGTCAGTAATTCCGAGTTTTCCTTATAAAAAGTGAAAAAAAAAAAGAACAAAGAAATCTATAGAGTGGAGCGAAAGTCTTAAAAAACTTTTACACCCACTTGTCTAATATTGGTGCGAATAGAAAAACGCGGAATTACTTTTGCTTCTACTACTTTCAGTACCTACATAGGAAAACGTATTTTTTAATTTGATTTGGCTTGATACAATCTTTGTATATTTTCCATGAGTTATATCACGTCTATTTGCTGAGTCCTCATTTAAAATGCTAGTTCTGCTTTTTAGCTTATTATAAATATATATATTGCAACGTGTCAAGAATCCTGTACAGAATTGCAAAGATTCGAGATTTCACGTTGATGTTCGGGAACAAGGTGGATCGCGGTCCTTCTGGAATTTACAGGAATAAATTACGGCTATACAGTGTGATTTTTTAAGTGTGCAACATATGGGGATTTTTTTTAGTAATAGCACAACTGAAATACAAGCAAGGCCAAAAGTTGGTGCATGTCTGATAATCATATAAGGTGCACTTAGAATGGTTGCAAGTCAAACAGCATACAGGGTAGCTCAAAGAATATCAAAGCTGTACTGTAAAGTACCCTTATTTTAGAAAATTCAGGAAAATGTTATAGAGAAAAGTTGTTTGGAATTAAAAGTTATGCCTAAATACCAAAACATAGCCTCCTAAGATTTTTTTTTATTTTCTTTCGAAAAAAATCAATAATTTCTATATTTTTTTTATTTTTTATTTCCGCCCTTAATACTTTCAAAAATTAATTAAAATCAAATCAATTTTACATAACTTTGTTCAAATTCAAGCATATTTGTAAAATTAACTTAGATTTTTAATTTTTTATGGAATCACAAAATTCATGTTTGTTGCAATGATATTTAACACAACTTTAAAATGTCGCAATTTTTTTTTTTTTAACAAGTTAAAACATTAGAAATGATAATAGCCATATTAAAAAAACTTCCCTTAAAGTGCAAAAGTTTTATTTTATTTAAATAAATATTAGTAGAATTTTGATATTTTTTGAGCCACCCTATATGCTGTTTGACTTGCAACCATTCTAAAGGCCCTCGTAAAGGCCGTATCAGACGTGCCGTTGCCGATTCCATTAGCCGTTGCCGTTGCCGTCACGGTTGCAATCACACTTGACACCGTTCCGTTACCGATTACTGGTCACTTGAAATGTTTATAACGTCAAAATGTCGGTGGTGGCTAAAATATTCAAAGTACAGCGCCGAACGTCGTCGGAAAGTTTCTTCTGCGTTGCTGTGCTATATGATTATACTGGAAGAAGAGGAAAGAGAAAGATCCAAACAAAATCGGTTTGGGTGCAGTATCAGAAGCGATAAATTACAAAACTAAAAAAGTGACGTTTAGACACATGACACAAGCTGTTCATAAAGCGCTTTCATTGGCTACGGTTCAGAACGGCCTCGTAAAATTTAGACTCCAACCTAAACATACAACGGCAATCGCAACCAGAAGCAGGTACATTTTGATTGGTTGAATTCCCAATCGTAATCGGCAACGGCACGCAGTGGCGGTCCATAGATGATTTTCTGGGGGGGGGGGTAATGGATGACGGGAAAATCATTAAGTGTCAAATGGCTTCCTGCCGGAGGCGAAATTTTTTTAAGGGTGCCACGTCCAAATTTGCACCTGAAAATCGTCTGAAACACACCTCAAGCAAAAATGTATCCCGATGCCGGCAAATAGTTATACAGGATGTCCACTTAGTAGACGATATCTCCTTTCAGGGTAATGCAAGAAAAAAAAATTAAATTACAAAGTTGTTTGATACTCTAAGATCCATTAGTAGTTTAAAATATTTTTGAATATACACAGGGTGTTCCGTAAATGAGGTATGTGACAGACCTTTGTTATTTTAAATGGAACACCTTACATTTTAGAACATTAATGGATTGTTCTAACAATCCTATATACTTTTTCTTAGGAACTACCTATACCTATATATAACTACCTATACTATACCTATACTAATGGATCAATTATGTGCACATCTGTGTGCAAATCTATAAATTTCTATAAAAACTCGACCCTTTTTGAAATATTTGAAACTTTTTCAAAAAATCGAAGTTCGCACTAACCCAAAAAGTGGGACACTCGACTGACAGGTCTTGTAATTTTGCATAAATCAGTCTATTTTGCGTAAATCAGTCTTTTCTTTTCAATGGATTTTTTGTCAAATATGACAATTCCTGTCATTGTCTTAGGTATAGCTGGGTGAACCCGTTTTACAATAGGAAAAAACGGGTGTCCCACTTTCTGACTCTGTGCTCATGACTGATAATTTATTGCGTAATATTGATCATGAATTTATTTACTGTATTGAAATCAAGCCAATAATCGGATTGAAATTTGAACCCATCACAAGTTACGAACGCCTAGGCTGTGACGTCATACCGGCTTTGGAAGTACAGTTTTAACACGTGCAAGAATTTTTCAAAACAAATGTCCACGATCTCATTAGAGCGAATGGCAACCACTCAAAGTATAGGGCACGGTTCACTGAGGACTGAACGAACGGGAGGCTGGCATTTCGGCGTTTAGCCGGTGTGACGCTACAAGTGTTCGCATAATTTATCTGCATAAAAAAACATTCAGATTTCATGTATTCGAATGCAGGAAAATTTCTACATTCAAGTACTTTTTGAAATATTTGAAACTTTAAAAAAAAATCGCAGTTTGCATGTGTCAGTGTCAATGCATGTATCAGCAAAAACCAACACATTTCATTCATTTGAGATCCTTAAGCTAAATCTTTTGCAGGCTGTTAGTGTATACTTACATTTACTTCATGGTCCTATGAAAATCTGATAACATTCTATAGGGTGTTCGCAATACTGTAACTGTACACAAAACCAGATATTTCAAACAACCATAGCTTTTTTTTCAAATGAAATACCTTTTATTTCACTGTATAGTAGTAGGTACAGTTGCGATCAAAAAAAAGTAGTACAAAAATTATTAGCTCCAATTTGAGCTCCCGGTGTAACATAAAAAAATTTGACAGGCAATGACATATTCTAGGTTAAAAACGGGTGGAAAAATGTCAAAATAATGTCATCTAAAGCTTTCTAGGTTAAAAACTTGTCGAAAAATGCCAAAAATATGTAATTTTTGGTTATGAATTAAATTAATGTATAATAGACCAGGAAATTTTGGAGATTTTCCTTGTACTACTTTTTTTTAATCGCAACTGTACGTCGATACTGGTGAGCCTATCAATTTATACAATGCCTTCTATGCTTTACTTTATAGAACTTGTCTTTTGTTGAAATTTTATTCTTAAGTGTTCAAAAAAAATCTTTGTCTGGGGGGGGTAATTACCCCCTCTACCCCCCCCTTTAAACCGCCCTTGACGGCACGTCTGATACGGCTTTTAGTGCACCTAATATGATTTTCAGACATGCACCAACTTTTGGCCTTGTTTGTATTTTGATTGTGCTATTACTAAAAAAATCCCATATGTTGCACACTTAAGTAATGACACTGTATATAAGGACGGGTTTTAGCTTGTAAGTTTAAGTTAAAGTTTGACTGTGATACGAGTTAAATAGTGCTTATTGTTGTAAAGAGTTCTTATTGTTGTAAAGAGTTTAATTGTTGAGTTAGTTATTAAAGTAATTAGTGTCAGAGTGTATTTGTTATGTGGAATAATTTATTGCTGTGTTAATTGGACTTTGATTTTTGAAATAAACGAAACGAACCCAAGATTTCTGTCAGACAACACAAAGCCGACAGTATTTTCCTCGGATAGTTATTTAGTTGAAATTAATTATAATTATTGTAACTTGCTTTTTCTAGTAGATAATAATTTCGGATTGTTAATAAAGTCATTTTTTAAAATACGAACCCTCGGTTTCTGACTTGTTAACTCATGGAAATTGTCAATCAAACAATTTTTTTTCTTAAACATGTAATGAAAGTAGAAAACACCTTTTCAATTTTTTTTAAAAGAATCTCGTACATTACTTATTTATTTTTGCAACATTTTCTGTTTTGTTTCTAGGTAGGTATCGTCATTTTATAATTTAATATAATATTGTTTCTAAAAAGCTATGCTTTCACTTTTTTATCTTTTTTTTTTTTAAATAATTTATTTCTGTGTTTTTTTAAATTTTACAATTTATTTTTCCTTAATGGGTAATAAAAGGGAAACTGAAATGTTTGCAAGTCGCAGGAAAATCTTTTAAGGCTTCCAAAAGCAATGTTACATTTTTTGCTTGTACTTTTGTGTTTTTTTTTTGCATATGTT